CATGGGATATATATATATATATATATATATATATATAGCTAGAACTAACCGAAAGCTAGAAACGTTGGGAAAATGCATCTATCCAAACGAATACGCACGCTATCATCTGTTCCTGCTTTAACTTGGAAAGGGCCGACCATCTGGAATCTGATCCAGATGGGACACACAGTTGAAGATTACTCATTGTTTCCGGTTCGGTCCTCGCAACAGGATAAAATTTCTTCAGGTAATGATAGGTAATAGATTCAGAATTTTACTATGCGCTCTGTGCACAGCAGTGAACATATATCAACACTGTTGCTGATGGCGGTGGGCGATCAGAAAGACTCGAGAGTTACTCTCAGTTTTGTTAATCGATCGCGCACCAGTTCATTTCCAAATAGAAGACGCAACTAATCCCAAATTTTACTTCATTTCATTCCGTTTTACACAGTATGCGACTGAACAGATTGTAAGGGGTGAATTCCTTCTGCAGTGTTATTGTTCTTGCTACCTTTTTCGACCAAAGAAAACCTAATAAATGGACCGCTCTCGCATTGGGTATGGATGACCGATTAAGATATATTAGTCGTTGACCAAGCAGGTCTTGAACGGGCGTGCGTATCAGGCAACGTCGAAACTCAGAACCTATGGAGGAGAACGACAAGTATTACCCCTAATTAAATAGAACATTTAATTTTCAGCTCAGTTACTGAGCCAGCCGGTGTGCTACGCACCTGGAACGTCTTTTGTAGGACTGATGGACACAAATTTTGCATGGGACAGTCCTTTTCCACTACTGTTGTAACGGATAAAACATCACGTGGAAACATCTTTATTCCTCTTTGCTTTCGCTGACCCTTCTAAACATCCCGCTTCCAGACAAAAAGGATTTAGCCCTTGTACTACAATATACATTCATTGGGAGGTTTGGCCATATTAGCCAGTGGGCTGTCCTGTCAAATGGCTTTCATCGTAAGCAGTAATGATTAACCAACGCCATCACATCAAGCAGACACCTCGTGGTGAAATATATCATCTGACGTGACATGTAGCACCGTTCTTCGGAGCAGATGGGCTCATCTCAGTATAGTTAAAATATGATTGGGCTAGCTCACCCTCGCTCGGTGTTTGTCCATTCCGCAATCACAATCACCGTCCTTCTAGCTGCATTAGAATACATCTGCGGGATACCATATACTGTTTTGCAGTTTATATGCGAGTTCAATCACACCCTACCGTTAACTTGTTTGTGGATTAACGGAAATTAGAACGGTCCACCAATTTGTGGACGTCGTGGACGTGTGATACAAGATAATGCGCTCTGAAAAATCTGAGTTGGACATCTCTGTTGAGCAGGAACCTTAAGAAAGTAAGCGTGCAATTTGGATCAGCTTTGACACACGATATGAGAGCATATTTCGAAAACCTTAGTGGTGTTTACTCAAATTTATTTTGTTCCGCGCCATAAGAGGTTGATATACAGATACGGTAAGGTGGAAAGGCGAGCCAATGCTCCCACTTGGAAAAAGCGTGTTAAAACCTCCTGTTGGAAGCATCTTGCCTTGATATTTTCAGAGTAAGATAAATGTCTAGGTATGGTTTGTTAAACCTCGTTCATGCGCGTTTATGCACAAACGGTGTTAGTTGATTACGTACGCACAGTTCTGACGACTCATGTATGTCCAACTTTTTCACCACGGAGTTGTGTCAAATTCAAGCACACCTTTACAATAAATTGTGCGCCTTCAATGGACCTCGTACACCTCTGAAATCTAGTTGGCATGCGGAACCAAGTTTCGTTCACCTCAGGTTATGCGACGTTATTAACTATGAGGGAGCTCAACCTGTGACGGTGAGATTGTGCTCAATAGCGCCACACAGTCAGTCAAACATCAAGCTAGGAAAAATGTGTTGAACCAGTCTTCGAAACAGGCGCGACAAGAGTGAGGTAGGACAATAGTCACATTTCAGTGTATGATGGCTCAACAATGATCACCAAGCAATCGAAAGCCTCACAATCTTGAATCCAAATATAATTTATGCGCTTGCTCCCATGTTGCATCCAATATGTCTTGAGTCCTGCAATTCACTGGCGCGTGCTAATGGATAGATGGGGTCACTTCGTTATCCGCAATTTTTATTCAAAGTTGCAAACAGCGCATTCTGCATCCACACTTTCCCAAATTGTAATCCAAACAAGCAATCCTGCTTTAAGGCACGTAATCTCCGCGGCATGATATGACTTCGCTCGGAAGAGTAATGGCTTAAACGTGATTCAACACTGAGGGTTGAATCGCTATCCTGAGCTAAAAAGCCAGGACTGTAAAGTTATGGTTTGTGTATGCAATAAAGCCGGATATGATAAGTTGAGAGCAGGATCCCATGCTTAAAAAACAAGCACAAGCAAAACTGCATGGCGTTTTCTGGAGCACATTGCATGAAGCGGATTTGTCATGAACCCCGCAGATAACCAAGTTGCTTGTCCTGCACGTGAGTGAGTTAATCAGGTGACCCAGAGTTCGTAACCCAGCAGATTAGAGCAGGGTATCATTGTAAATTTCCAGTAAGAAGACAGTTTACGTCGTGTCTCCCAGTTTTGTCTAGGCGAGAATAATGTGGATAATAACGAGCTTTGAATTTCCCAACAATATGCGTCTAGCCAGGCCTTTCAAAAGCCGCACCAAAGACTAACTTAAAACATCAGTCTAAGTGCACCCTTGTAGAATACTCAGAAGAAAGGCGGCTCGCTTTTATGTCTCGAATTCAATGACCCATCTTATTCTGAAGGGGTGGTTTGTCTGCTAAAGACATTTAGTATAGTGTTCTCCAGGGATCGTATTCTATGAAGAATCTTGGTTTCTTGGCTATATTCACCCCAACTAGTTGAGTTGTATTATCCTCAGCATTGGAAGAGACATGGGATAGTATTCTGTGCTCCATTCTTGAACTAGAACTATCATATTAGTATATATATATATATATATATATATATATATCACTCCTAAATGGTCATGCGCAAACAATAAATCTGCTGTTCATGTTGTCTGCTAGTTACCGGATGTTCGTGCTGCGAAACGGCGGCCAAAACGTAATGTGACCGAGTCCGAACAAGTCGTGGTTCGTATTTTACGCTGTATTAGGGGGGTCTACGAAGAGGTTTATTGCCACTCTGGTTATATACTTTTCAGCTATGTATCCCATGAAGAAAATCATCTGGTGCGCTTTTATATCGGTGGAAACGCCGTGGTGCTGTTCAAAACCAGTAAGTCCAAATCCAAATTTCAGGAGGTAAGGTTTAAACTAGTACTTAGACTAAACTAGCACCAAGCGCATTATGTGCATAAACGTCGAGTGGGCTGGGTAAAAGTATGCGACAAAAAACAGGGGGCTTTTGCGGTGGACATATAAAATCGCTGACTAATATACACTACTAACTCCTAATAATCAGCTTATATATCCATCAAAATACTTTGTGTTGAACCACAGTCACAGTCAGCATATCCCGTTAGCAAGTGTTCTACTCCATCAAGGGATAGGAGATCGAAAACGATACTGAGTAGTAGCATTAGTTCTTCGACAAGTTTTACAATTTCTTAAGCCCGACAGAAAATTTGTAAGGCGCATGAAACTCTCTGTCCTATCCCAAATCGGCATTGCTTGGATGACCAAATGAACGACTGATAAATGCAGGATTGAGTGATGAGGTTCCCGATAACGAACTTTGAGTGACGCTTGGGTTCGACATTCCCGAATATCAAAACGAAGAATTGGTTTCGTAATTCCACGGTACTATTTACACAGGGGTAAGCAGATGCGTACAACAAACCTCGATTGTTCACTTTCGTAGCGTCAACAGGTCCACAGGTCTGTCACTGACCGACAGAGTGCAAGTCCCAAACCCAACAACAGCGAGCGGAATGATGACTCAGTGGCGTGAGTTGCGGTGGTCGCTGCCGATGACTCTGTCGTGATTCTCATTGGACGGGCGACCGATCGGACCTCATTAGAAAACACGTTAAGCCGGGCTAAGCAAACGGGACATGAACACGCATGGGTAGGTAGGTCAGTAGCGCACATTCACACACAGCGAATGAACAAGTGTCGGGCTGGACGGCCTCTGCGGCAGGGTGAGTGGCGGGTACGGATAAGCAAAACAACTGAAGATCAAAAGTACATAGGCGGAGTAAGCAAATGAACGGGGGAACTATCATAAGGTCAAGCTAGATTCAGCACTAAGTTCCCCTAGACAAGGCATTTGGGCTGCAGATCGCTTAAACTCAAACGCTGAAGTTGAATACGGATCAGCCCATTCATTTGTTTAACCGTGAAACTCAAGTCAAAGGCGGATCTCAGTTGCTCTTTGGGGTTTGCTAGGGTGTGATTGTCCACGAAATGACTCTAATTCGCCTGCTTATTTATAGGTAATGGGCAATCGAATAATCCTCTCTGGATAACCTGCTTCTGACATAGGTTACTCCAGGAAAACATTATTTTTCGCATGCTTCATTATAATCGGTGGAACAGTGTCTCAAGCAGGCCATGCATATAAGATAAGGGATGTCTTACATGGAAATCCCATATACTGACTAGCCCATGATGTCTTGCTACCGATAGTGCAGAAGATGTACGGGAAAACAATATTGGAGAAACCAGAAATTAAGATAAAATTAAAAATCAGAATTTTATTGGTAGAGTTCCGAATGCGGAAAGAAAGTACCACTGACGTCAGACCTGATTATGAATCGTAGCTAAGCACGTGCTACCAAGTGAATTGTCCAGAGAAACAGATGAAGGGTTTGGCTGGATTTCGAGAGGAGGTGAATCATCCTTGCTTAAATCGAGTATAATGCAACCTCTAGCTCCCTGGTTTTCACGCCTGTTCGTTAAAACTGCATGCATGAAGCCTAAGCCAGCCGAACTCAACCTGTCAGATTTTGGAATCTCCAGGAATGCATGAACTTAATGAGTCGTATAGACTCATTGTTCTCCGTTTTCTAGATAAGCACACTGCTTTTCGATTTCCTGCACCGCATTCCGATACGCTTGATGTCCGGTGGTCGCAGGGATTGGCTCTTATTTCATCAGATCATTGGCAGAACATTGATAAGTCCCACAGAGAAGTTTTACACCGCGAATGGTAATGTACCGCAACATGAAACGGTTGACTTTTACATGGCTTCATACCTATCCATGACATTTAACCAAGGCTTTCACAAGGCTTAGTCAGATATCTCATTCAAGGCACAATCGTTTTAACTTTGAAGACGTTAATTACCGCTTAATTATTGGCGCTGACGTATGTTGAATGCTTTCTTACTTCTGCTTATCTACAACGGATAAATTAGTACGCGCTTTTATAGCCAGTAAAAAGCCTCAATTAATGATTAAACTCTTTCAAGTGCACGGCCCAAATGATTAACGGGTTAACCCCTATCCCAGAGTATCGGCCGTAAAACAACGTAAGGTAGTCACTATGTTTACTTTCCCACTTTATCTTACAAGCGTTGCCAGTGAGAACACTGTTCCACCGTGTAAGAAACGGCTCCACATTGGATGAGCTTTAAAATGAGTAGTTCCCTTGCCAAATCTCAGTCGAGTCCTTTGGAAGGTGTTCAGTCACTCCAATGCAACTTTCGGACATGCCCCGATACGATGGATTTTGTTGACTACGGACGAAATCGCAGCTCACACGCTAAACGTAAACAACTGGAACCGAAGCAGGTTTTTTTGTCTCTGATCTTGGCATCCTAAAGAAGGCGAAAGGAATAAACATGTGATCGGTGGAATGCCTCTTTGGACGCTGGCACACCCCGAACTTTTTGTCAACATCAAACAATTTCAATCTGTCAATAACCACCGGTATTACATTTTGCAGCAATAGACTGTTAGGCGGCCGGAACTCAACTTGAAACTCTACTAACTTGTTGACTTGACCAGTATTAATCGAACAGATGAGATCGTTGCTTGTTGGTCTGGGTCTTGACGTTGAGGTTAAACTGTTACTTCCACCCAGTGTTACACATTTCGCACCCTTCCCTTTTTTAACATTCACTTCTGTCTATGTGGATGCCTGCCTATCTACTCTATAGTGGATAAACAGTGTGGGATATACTGCATTTTCGACTAGAGAAGTTGGTATGCCTCCGATAAAAAAAAGGCATCCTGTGTCATTAGTCGAATGGTATCCTGCCCGTTTTCTGATATCACCAGGCGTGTAGCCTGATGCTCACCTCAGTATTAAGAAGAGAAAATTTTCTTCCTTATGAAAACGGTGCGCACAGGCGTTTACACTAATGCGGGTGAGCAACAGAGAACATACCCGAAATGATTAGCTTTACAATCGACCGTATCATTAGAACATATTCACAGTATGGTATAATACAGCTTGAAACGTTTCTCGGGGAAGTATAAATCTAAATTCTTATGTTTGCTAATGATGACTCTATTCTCCTTTAGCTGATTTGGTCTTTTTCTGTACTACAATCCCAGTAAAGCAAATGACCCTCGGCTGAGGTTTTGAAGTATGTAACAGAACTGATCGCAGTTTTGCCATCTTGGTGTGGTACTTTCTACATACAAAACATATCTATCCATTGGACACTTCAGAAAAAGGAGCGATTTGTGAGCGATTTACAAGTAACGTATCTCAACATACCACCAAAAGTTAACTCATGTGGACCGCGAAGCAATCAGCTGCAGGCATATAGTATCACCACCAGTTTTTCATTCGCTTTGGAGCACATCATTCGCCTTTAACAACGGCGCTGTGCGGGTACATGATCCTATTTGTGTTACCTCTGAAACACACCCTTGTACGCAATCTAATTCATGTCAGCAACGGCGCATTGTCGCTCTGTCCTGAAATTTGCGCTTCTAATAGGCTAAAAAGCGTCCACAAAATGATGGGCATAGAGGTAACGGTAGTGATTTAGAGAACGACTGAAAATAGGCATAAGAAACAATGATCACAGCTTTTAAACCGACCTATCCAAGGTTGATTGCAAGCATGTTTACTGAAACTCGCGAAAACCGGCAGCTAACATTGAGGCCACGAAAAGTATACTAGCAGAGGGCGACTCTGGTCCCTCAAAGATAGGTCAAAGTAATAAAGAGGGATTATGAGACCGGAAAAAACATCTCATACAGTCATAAAAGATCGAATCGCGCGAGGAGACGAGTATTACCAGAAAAATCTCTCTCGCAGACACGTCTTCTCGAACGACAGGCAGAACATTTCGAAGATCATTTCCGCTGACCATCACTGATTCAAGTCCACAAGTGAATAAATATTAACAAAAGTAATGTTGAAACCAGCTTGTCATCATCAATAGAATTAAAGTGTGTACTACGATCGTTCGGGAGTAAAAAATCACCTGCTCGTAGGGCTTTCATTCTGAAAGGTTGAGAACAAAATTCATGGGATAAGGAAAATATCAACGGAATTGAAATATAAGAACATTTTTCTTAATATAAAAATTGCTCATCCCATTTAGCACAAACACGGACGATAGCACACTCTATTCGAATTTTAACTAGTTGGGTAAACAGGTAAGATCACGAGTGATAAATTGCCGAACGGATGCTTCGAATTTATCTTCGACAATTTCCCAGACAATTGTGAGTCATGCTCCATGAAAATACTAAAACCGTATTTCTGGTTCACAGGTACAGACGAATGAAAACAACATGGAGTTCTCAGGTTGATCGATTACTATTTTCACGAAAATCCACTCTTTTTTCTTATGAATAAAACGAAAAGTTTTTTTCAGTTTTTTGCCTTTTGCTTACAGGAGTTAACAGGAGGAATGTTATATTACCTATTGGTGCTTAGCGCAAGCCGTCACTACTACAAGCCACTAATATCTTGCCATCCATTCAGTAACAGGGGCGCCGACAGAATCGTAGTCTCCTTCCTGTAGTAGTTGCTCTTTCAGACAGTATTAAAGCCTTCAGTTATCTAAGCGCGATTTACTCACAGTACCGATCAACCGCATCTGGTCAAAATGGATGATGATCACATACTAACCGGAAGGTCGCCTGTTCTAATTTAGGAGCAAAAATGTAGTTGTGAATCTCCACTGATCCCGAACAAGAGTGAACCCGTCGTGCAGTGCTCCTCGACTTTTCAGTTCACAACGAATTCTTCCGCCGCATGACATCTTGGGCGGGTATTAATTAGCCAGAACCGTTCAAACTGTTTCATTTGTGTAAGCAGCACATCGATGATCAAAGATATTAGACGAGTCCGGCAGGAGCTGGAAAGCCGAACAGCGCACGTACGGATGCAC